GCCGCAAAAGGTAGGTGTAAAGCAAAGCCATTCATGCAGTCAATGACCTGAGTATTTTAAGTCCGGCGCAAAAACGCATGATCGCACGGGCCCACCCCGTGCGTTCCAGCCTTGGTTAGTGAACTGGAAATCTGCATTTTTTCAAGAAATTTGCATTTTTCATTTTTTCAAAAAGCAAGCATTTACTGAAAAAACGATCGAGCTTCGCGCAAAAAATTAGTAGGCATGTACCTCGAGGTCTATGCGCTCTATAATGCAACACCCTTATCCTAACCTATACCCATTCTGCTGCGTGCTGGAAGAAACCAAAGCACGGCCAATATGAGCCCAAGTGTTAAGCTGCAGCGCAAGGATTCTTCCTACAATTAACGGCCTGCGAGTTTAGTGCAAAAACGTATGGTAGCACAAGCAGGCCTGGTGCGTTGCAGCTTGGGTTTTTAAAATAGCCTGAACTTAATTAAAACATTCAGTACACTAAATTAAAAGGAATTTTTTCACTGTGTCACTTGGCACAGCGGTTAATAGACACGCTTCCGCAGTACACCTCAGTTTTCATGCTCCCGGATAAGCAAAACCTCCGTCTTTCTTCAAATGGATTCAGTAAAATGAAGCTACTTGCACAACTCACATTTTGAAGCTGTAAAATCTCTTTCGATGTCTATCTGAATCAGTTCTCTGATCACAGGCAACATTGGCAACCACACTAGCACATTTTTATTGCCTTTAAAAATGCAATCGTTCTAGCCCTTAACAGATAGGCTGCGATGAGCTTTTGGCTTCCAACACTAGCGCGATGGTTGTCCGCATAAATGCGGCGTCTCTAACGCCCGACGCGAGTAAAGGATAGATTCCTGCCCAGTCCGTAGCTGATGATGGTAGCTCCTCAAATGCAACAAATGGCAACGTGTTGTAACGAGACGCAGTTATAGGTTTTTACGGATTTTAATGTGTCCTTGCGTATTTATGCAAATGCAAAAACGTATATTGTCGAGTTGTTAATATGTTTGCGTTTGGATTTTCGTCAATACGCACATAAAAAAGTATAAGCAGGCGTGGCCGTTGAAAATATGTTTCTGTGTCAAAAAAAAAAGAAAATAAAACGTAAAAATCGAACCGTTGTATTCAGGCCAGCACTTTTTCAATGAGGAGTATTTGATTTTCTCTTGAAAGATATCGAATTTATTTAAAAATAACACGATCGAGGAATTTTTGAAATAATCACTTTGCACAACCGTTTTAAAGATTTGCTGACTTTGTATCATACGATTCTGAAATAAAACAGTCGCGATTTAGAAATATGCGAAAAAGACCCACTCCAGAAGTCACGCCAAAGCTTGAAATAATGACGTATTTCATCTAGCTGCTGCACCACAGGGTTCGTAATAACTTTTTAATTCTTAACTACAGAGGCTGAACATGCTTGACCTGTGTTTCATCTTCTGGATCAGCTTGATCGAACTCGCTCATTGCCACGACAAACAGCACCATGTTAACGTTATCAAAACAGTGGATCCACTTTCGTCTTTCCGACCGTTGACCTCCTACGTCTACCATCCTGAATAAGAAACGGAGCAGTAATATGTGAACGCTGGTAAGTGGTTCGGAGGAATCCAGTGCCATCGAAAGGCGTGTATAAGCTACAAAACACTGCTTCCCATCTAGTCTGAAAGAAATTCGAATATGCAATCATACTTGAAATCAAGCTTCTTATAGATAAAATTGATTTCATGAATGCCTGTTGTCCGGAATCGACATTGCAAAATATCCTGTGTTGTTGGACAGTAATTTGGTGCCGTAATTCTTTCGAGGCTGTCCAAAAAACTGTAAAATGATCCTACAGTTCAAGGTTCCGACGTTTAAAAGAAATACACTTATGTTTAAAACAAACACACTTATAAATACAGCAAGTCAGCAGATGCCCTCCTGATTTAAGCAAAAATTCAAGAAAAAAAAAACTGAAAGCTTTTCATCAGTCACTCCTGTGCGTTGGGTAACCGCGTCCGAGGAAGCCTGTGAAATTTCTACTACATTATTTGTACGCTAATGCACACTAGTGTGCGAAGCAATCCAATAAGCGCAATGAATTTGTGAAATTTCTTTTTTATCCCCTACTGTCAGAACGAATGAATTAAAAGACTATAATTTCGTTAATTTTGCCGAAGAAAATTCAAGGAACTTTTGGGAAACGAATTTGTGCAACAGAAAGTAAATACAGGCCAACTTTATTACGGTAAAGAAAAATAAGCCAGCAATTAAAAGAATAATTAGTGAAAATCGTGCACATTCCATCAGTTTCAAAGGCTCCGTGTCGGCAGCTCACCGATCTTGCTGACTAGTAAATGTTTGAAAGCAGTTAATAACAAGTTATCAACTGGGCAGGGAAAAGCCTTCGTTGTTAACCGAACTCGGCTTAGCAACGTACTGGCTGATGGAAGTGAGCTTCAAGTATGGACAGCCAAGTGCCCACACTTCTAAATTTGGGAGAAATCTAAACAGTGATGAAGAACTGACAATCGTCCAATTAGGGAACGCGTAGGGATGCAGATACAGCGTCTATGTGTGATATTTTTGAGAACAAATTACGGGAAATTGAAAACGAACAATTTGGCGTTGTCAAGCAGTTGATAATTGAAACGCCTTTTGTAAACGAGTTGTATACCGCTACTTTGCCAAATTCTTTGGATTATTTCAACCATTTCCCGTGAAATTGTTTCACAGTTCTCCGCATCCGCACTTATTTCCTTATAGAACTTCATGAATTTGTTTACTTTTTCCTGGAATCTTCCTTACTTTGAGTTAGGCGTGGGTATACGCGAAATCTCATTTTATACTTACGTCTAGATATTGGCAGTAAACATCCCACTTAAAATACTCGATTCCTGAGTTGAAAGAGCGCTAACAGTGCCCTGAGTTGAATCCAGTCATGCGTATACGGCACCGAAATGTACTTCAAAGCTGAATTCAAAATTACTGGGTCACGTGCGGACAAAAACCATCCATGTGTTAGCTTCCATCTTTCCTGGTAACTGAGTTGAAAATGGGGAACAATATCTAATTACATATATACAAGTTTTTAAGCATTTTTGCTGTGCAGCGCTAAAGCAGCGCTATAGAGCTGCTAGAACCAGCAAAAACGCATATTGCCGAGAGGCTGTCTGTGTGTGTATGTCTGTTCGAAAGCGAGTGCATTTCGTCACCCACTTTCATCTCAGCAATCAGGAAAGCTGGGAGGCTGAAACTTTGGATATATGTTCCTGCCCCGTGTGTCATCCTCACTTTTTAAGATTTTACCCATACGCGCCTAAACCCGCGTGCGGGATCCCCAAAGAAATATGTTGGCGGGAAACGATTTCGCGAACGAAGCGACGTAGAAAGCTGAAACTTTGCAGGGATATTCTCTATGCACGTGCGAGATAAAAATTTTAAAATCAGCTCTTTAGCTCCCCAACCACAGCCTCCAGCAGCTCCTCAACCTAAAAATCGTTAGCAACTCGGGCCTTGACCGCAATCTTATATGTAAGTGAACGTGGATTTTTTGAAAAACGACCGCTCGATCAATACTTTCACTTTTTAGTGAACTGGAAATTTGCATTTTTTCAAAAAAGGCAACCTATCTGAATTTTTTGTTTTA